AGAGAGAGAGAGAGAGAGAGAGAGAGAGAGAGAGAGAGAGAGAGAGAGAGAGAGAGAGAGAGCACTGACGGTGCTGCCAGTCTGAAGACTCTGACGTTCTGAATTGAACTGCAAAGTTCGAACTTTTAAAGTTCAAAGTTCAAACTTCAAAGTCAATCATACTTTTTTTCTTTTTTTTTCCGTCTGTTTCTTTAGTCTTGTGCCTGCTTTGCACTGTTTGCAACTCTGCATGTCTGCTAGTTGAATGTGCTTGTTGATTTGCTGCAAGACAGGTGCTCTGCTGCCTGAACTACAAAGTGCAAAGCAGGTAAGCGCCAGCCAACATACCTCCCACCTGCCCCCCTCCCCCCTCTCCCGTTTTTTCTTTTCTTTTTTTTCTTTTTTTCTTTTTGGTCCGGAGATTTTGTACCCCCTGACACCGGTCCGGACTGTCTGGGTGTCCGGTGATGTCCGGATCAAGGGACAGTCCGGACCGGTGCAGACACTGGTCTGGAAGACAGTCTGGGACTGTCCAGTGTCCGGGTCCACGGTTACCATGATACAGAGAGGGCCCAATTTGTTTTTTGAATGAGCCCTGTGCAAGGATAACACAAAAATTGAGGGATGTTCCTTTTTTTTTTTTGAAAAGAAAGGTATCCTGCCTGCTGATGTGAACATGTGTGTGTCATTCCTGATGACATGGACATGCGGATCACATTCTTGCTGATCTGGACTTGTAACCTTGTGTACATTAATTTTGTCTTTTGCACATATGTCATGGGAGCAACAAAGGGTGATTTTTGGAGTTCTTTTTTTTGGGCACACGATTCGAAGTTTTGGTGTTCTATGATCACTAATTACTAATTAGTAGTTGGGTAAATTACAACGTACATGATCAGTCTTGAAGACCGAAACATGGACGACTACGGAAAAAAGGACCACGACCGAAAAAAGGACCACAAGCCCGGCACTAGGCCAAATTTCAGGGCATACTTTATGTACAAAACACAAATTGGGAAACGGTCCAAAAAACCAAAAAGAAAAAGACAAAAATTGATTCATGCGCGGTTTTGTGGTCATGCCTGCTGATGTGGACATGCAGGCAGCCGGGTTGTCCAATATCTCGACTTTCCATGGGATGATCCATGAATATTCAGGGAAGTTTGATGCATGTGTGGCGCTCCATGCATGCGGGAAGGCTACGGACGATGCACTCAAGAAGGCTTTCCAGCTTAAAGCTGCGTACATCATGTCTCCGTGCTGTGTCGGCAAACTGAATCGGGTGCAGGGCTGGCGACAGACGTCATGCTCTGGGAAAGAAGGCCATTGTTGCGGAAACATTATCGACCAGGGTGAGTGGGGTGATCAACAGCCAGGGTCGGATGCAGTTGTTGGCTCAGGCAGTGACCAGTCAGAAGGCAGTGTCGCCTCAGCTTCAGCCAGGGAGACGGAGACCTATGGAGCGCCACAAAGTACAAATGCAGGTGCTTATCGAGATGAACGCGTCACCATATCAGCAGGAGCAAAGCTGCTGACTTTATCAGTTTGTCGTGACCTGCAAGCGGAAGCTAGCAGTTCATCCTGTTCGAGTTCCAATCTTCCGGATGCTGGGCACGGAGGCAGACAGGATATCGAGTCTCCTTGTGACAGTCTGCTAACGCGTAAGCTCGATGGGTTCTGTGAAGAGATGGCTGCTTCACTGTGCAGCGGGTCTAGCATTTCGGGCAGTACAAAAACTCTCTCCTCTCTGAGCCTGGACGGTGATGTATCGATGCCAAACTTGGGGAAGACAGCAGATACTGGCATGGACAATAACACGACGTCGCTTCCAGAATCTTCATTCCGTGAGCGTTTAGGGTCTAGTGTTTCGGGGCATGCAGAAACTCTCTCCTCTCTGAGCCGGGATGGGGACGCATTGATGCCGAACTTGGGGAAGATGGCGGATATCGGCATGGAAAACAACATGACGTCGCTTCCAGAACCTTCATTCCACGAGCATGGAGATTCTGTCGGAGACAAGGGTATTGGGAACAGCCTTTTGGGAAAGAAGGCCTCTGATGGGCCCATTGGAAACGAAAGCATGGTCCCGCTTCCCCTTGCCCATGGAACTGCAACATCGTCAGGAAGGTCAAACTTTGACGGTTCGTGTTTGACTGATGGGACGGGTCTCCCGCAATCAAGATGGTTGAGGCGCGCAGTGAGCCCTGCTCAGTTCTCGCTGATCGTGCAGATGGCTGGTACGTGCCAAGCCTGCCTTTTCAACTCCTGGCAGGAGTTGTTTGAGCTTCACATCCCTTTTTTTTCCTTTTTTTTTTTATTTAGCTCCCTTCTTGTTCTTTTCTTCTTTCCTTTTCTTTTCTATTTTTCGTTTTATATTTGGAGAATTTTGGACCATGTCTCGATTTATGCATGCCATCCTTGCACAGGGGCCATGCTAATTAGTGATTACCATTCTCTGTACATTTCAACGGATGTCCTGCAGGGCTTTTCCTTTTGTTTTCTGAAGGCAGTGAAGGGAGGATTCTAAAATTTTCCTTCTTTTCTTTTGCGACTGTTCCATGGAAATGACAATAGTGTAATGACCTGCCAAAAACACAGACTGGGAACACTGCTGATTTCTGGGATTTGCCAATGGAATGAATGCGTTGCTGTGATTTCCGCATTCTCCTGTGGTCCCAAGTCTGTGTGTATGCGTGCCTGCTGGTTTGCATGCCTGTCTGAGTGCTTGCCGGTTGTGTGTGTGTGCGTGCCTGCTGGTTTGCATGCCTGTCTGAGTGCTTGCTGGTTGGGTATGTGTGTGTGACCCGCAAGGGTACTTGTTGGTTGCAAGGCCCACCGGGCCGGTACTTACCTGTGGCCGTGACTTTGAAGGGTTGCAGGGGGGTAAACACGCCGGTAGCGGGGAGTAGGCCCACGACACT